ACCAATTCAAAATCCAACCAGCTGCCAGCCTTGAATGTAGCAAACTCTCAGTGCCAATTTGTCTACAGTATTCCTAGAACAGTAATTAAGTTGCATTACTTTCCAGGTCAGCTCCCAACAGATAACATCTGCTCTGATTCTCTTCTCTTTTAAATAAGTAAAAGTTCCAAGTTCACTTCTTAGCCTCAACTGACAGTTCCAAACCAAAAAAAAAGGAAAACAAAAACAAAATAGTGATGGTCTTAACATTAGGGAGTTAACTTTGCATAGGTGACTGAAAATAATGTTTTCAGTCTTCCAAATACTTAATTTTTGAAAATTTCTGTTCATCCAGTACCAGATTTCAGATAAGCAGACTGATAATTTAGCAAAAGTGCAAGAATTGAGAGAAGCAGAGCTGAGAAGCAGATTGAGGGAGGCACAGTGGCAAAGTGGTTAGCACTGCACCAGGGACCTGGGTTTGATTCCAGCCTTGGATGGCTGTCTGTGTGGATTTTGCAAGTTCTCCCTGCGTCAGCATGGGTTTCTGCTGAGTAGTCCTGTTTCTTCCCACAGTCCAAAGATGTGCTAGTTAGGTTAACTGGCCATGCTAATTGCCCCCTGGTGTCCAGGGATATGCAAGTTAGGTGGATTAGCCATGATAAATGCAAAGTTAAAGAGATAGGATGGGATGGGGTGCTCTTCAGAGGATCAGTGGAAGCTTGATGGGCCAAATGGCCTCTTTCTGCACTGTAGGGATTCTAAGATTCTCATGTTGTCAGCACATATGTGAAAATTAATGTCTTTGTTGAACAATGTCATGAAGGAGAAGCATGAACTGAGAAATAGAATGGCTAAGAATAGATCCTTGAGGACACCAGACATAACACTGTGAGGGCAGGAAGAGAAGCCATCACAAGTGATTCTTTGGCTACAGTTAGATAAGAATAAAACCAAGTGAGAGATGTCCCACCTATTTCAATGACAGTGAGAAATGTTGAAGGAGAATGGTGTTGTTGAGTGTGGGTCAAAGACTAAAGATAGCCTGAGAAGGATGAGGGAAAGTTCATCACATTCATAAAAGAGGTGACTGTGATAAGAGCTGTTACGATAATATGACAAAGACAGAAATCTGGTTGGAAAGATTCAAACACAGAGTTCCTGGAAAGATGGGAATGAATTTGGCAGGTGCCAACACATTCTATGACTTTTGAGACAAAACACTAGTTGGAGATGGGATGTTAGTTTATAAGGAAGGTGGGATCAAGAGTTTTTTTTCAAAGACAGGTGATGATGACAGATTTAAAGACAGGGACTATTAAAAATATCAGCTGACATTGGCATCAGGAGGAGATGTTGTGTGGTCAATAGTTCAATGGGAATAAGATCATGGGAACAGGCAGGGTTTCTCATGGACAACAGATAAACTCAGAGGACATAAGCAGGGGGAGTTAGGAGGCAAACTTGAGAAAGATTTAGAGCTAAAGGAAAGTGGGGGTGGGGAATTCATTATAGGAAGTTTGACAGATTGAAATATCTTGATTTTATTGACAAAGAAGTATAATCTCCTTGAATTTATTGCTGAAAGTGAGGATGAAAGGAACAGAAGGGAGGGGGTTAAGAAGACAGCTGTAGAAAAAAGAAACAAGTGATTATCCTTACTTTCCACTACAATCCTGAAATGAGGAGTTTTAACAGAAGAGAGAAAGATCTAATTGTGTTTGACATGGTCCAGCAAGGTCTGAATGGATGTGGAAATCAATTGTCTGCCAAATTCTTTCATCTGTGTCCCTTGACATTATGAAACAGAGATGAGAACTATACCAGCAGAAAAGCTAGACGAGAGCGAGTAATGGTTTTATTAGGGGTAGGGCATCCATCAGAAGTGAAAATAAGCTTGTGCTTGAGCAAACTTATACCTGCAGAAGTTAGTGGCAAACAGAGGATCAAATGGTTGATGATTGGGATTTTGAAAATGTAGTTGTGGGTGAAATGGAGATTAATGTTTTCTAGGCACAGGTACAGAAGAGAGTAAGCTCAGGTTGTGGAAGAAGGATATAGGTGGTGAGCGATACACAGAAGTAATCAGAGGTGGTCTTATCTGTAATTGATATGATGGGACGAGCAAGACCACACCAGATGGCAACATCAAGGGGTGGCTAAGAATAGAGATTGGGGAGTTTACAAGGAGGGAGAAATGTGGTCAGGAACAGGAGATGGTGACATAGTGGGAATATTAGTAGACTAAAAAACTAGAACCCCAGGCTAATGTGACATGGGTTTGAATCTCACCACAGCAGATGGTGAAATTCATCTAATGGCAAACATGTAGGCATTGTTCTTAAAAACCTATCTGGTTCAGTACTGCCCTTTAGTTCCTGAATGGTAAATCTGCCGCCTTTACTTGGCTGGCCCACATTTGACTTCAGGCCCACAGCAATGTGGTCACTCTTAACTGCCCTCTGAAATCAAGCGGAGAACCAATCGGTTCAAGAGATGGGCAACAAATGCTGGCCATGCCAGTGATGTTTACATACCTTAACAATAATAAAAAGACACTTTTGATAAATGCAGAAACACAACATCTATTTACACAGAGGTTATGTAAATAACATACATATAATACACATGACATACATGCATTAAAATCCAAAGAACATGCAGGGTGATGTAAAGGAAAGGGTTGTTCCTCTCTTTGCTGCACAGAATTTCCCTGTTTTAATTCTGCGGGCCCTGAATGTTGAGGTTTGCTCTGCGCCCTGCAATTGGTGAATTTGGGAATTATTTTCCAGGCACAGGCTTTGTAAGATGGAAGGTTTGTGTCTGAGCCTAGCTTTCCCATTGGCTGGTAAGATTGCACCTGCCTCTTGTGCTGGTACTAGTCCAGTGTCAGGGTCTAGGCTGCCTTCAGGAGCGCTCGCTGCAATGTGATGGCATAATGCGGGCGGAGAGAGAGAGAAATTGAGAAACAATGACTGACTGAAAAGAGGAAACATGCAGGAGGAGGAGGAGCAGGCCAGAACTCTCCACCCCAGGAACAGGATGTAAGAAGCAGCCTAGCCAGAGGTAATTACACAATCTCAGATTTAGCTTTTGTGTGCAGGCTGCTGAGAAACATGAGCAGCCTAATCTGGTGAGGAGGATGGGTGATGAAGTTCCGGTTACTATGCAGCTTGTCTCTCCCTGTAACATGCTTATACTGCTGTAGGATGAGGGAAACTGACTGGCGGAGGGGCTATTGTTAACTCTGGGCAGTTTACAGTCACCTCTTATTCAAGGCAAACAAGTGAGAATATTGAAACAATAAGAGGGTAAATGGAGTGATCAGAGACACTAAGAGCAATTTGCGAGTGACTGCAGTAAATGCAAAGTGTTTCAATTAGGGTGTGAAATGCTGCTATTTAAGGATGTATGATAATAAATTACATGAATTATTACAGGGAGATTGTTTTACATATCAAGAAGCATTACTGATTCTATTAATTGTTAATTCACAGCAGCATTTTTTAAAACATGGTTTAAATTGACAGTTTTGCAGATTGCTTATGTGTTGTTCTAATGCGGTAATATGGCAATGAGAAAGGCGCTACAGAGCTGCTCCACCACAGGCCTGCTATCGCTTCTCCTCTGTCTCCTGTATCCCTCACACAGGGATCTAAACAGCAACATGTCAGCTCTCCTAGGCAGTCAGCTGTGGAAACTGTTAGTATTGTAGCCTTGCCTAAAACATCATTCTACAAAAATCCTGTTTCTTTTTGGTGATATGTCAGCTTCCGGACTTAAAGCAATCTGAATATACAAGTTAGATACAAGGGGTTGCAAAATACAGTTAGTTAAAGCTATGAGGCTGCTATGTGGCAAATGGATCATAGTTAGCACATCTATGTTATAAAAATCTCTTGTATATTTGTGTGTGAGTACAGGGTAAGTGTGAGGCTAAGTGAATTTGTGAATATGAACATGTTTGTGAACTTAAGTGCATGAACAATTGTGCACATGTGGGAGTGAGTACAAGTATATATAAAACAGGGAATTCAAATATGAATGTAAGCAAGAGAACGTAGGTTAAGATAAACAAAGAACTGTGGATGCTGGAAATCTGAAACAAAAACATAAATTGCTGGAGAAACTCAGCAGGTCTGGCAGTATCTGTTGAAAGATCAAGTTAACATTTCAATTCCAGTGATCCTTCGTCAGAAACTTGAAATATTAATTCTGTTATTCTCTCCATAGATGCTGCCAGAGAATGTATGTATGATGGTGAGAGTCTGGAGAGAGTGCAAGTGCCTGCAATCCATTCTCTATATCTCTGACCTGGAAGAAGATCAGTAGATAGCTCTCTTTCCTTATTTATCCACCCCTACCAGCTCTCTTGTACTCTCCTTGGGTATGCACTCCCCTCCCCTAAACATCCCTTCCCTCACACATTCCTTCCCGCACGTAGTCATTTTTGTAGTTTGTGGTTATTTTCTCTTCTCGTTAAGTCTATTTTTGGTTTCCTGGAGATTGAGTTTAGATCTATTTTTGTATCTAAGCAAACTCCTTGTGTAGCAGTCTCCCAGCTTTTATTGGCAGATCCACCTGCAATCACAGTAAGGTTCCCAGATTGGGTGTTCTGACCTCTACGATGTTTACATGTTGAGACATCACTCTGGAGGTGGGCGCTGAGCAAGCTGACTTCATTTCAACTGGAATTATCATCTGGTTTGGGTGTATGGGACAGTGTTATCCCACCTTCTGTCCCACACTCACTATGGACTGGTCTCAGTTGAACCCTTAATAAAGTCTGACAGTTTAGGTAGAGAAATGCAGAGGCTCTGCGCCTGCAAGGGTAACTCTGCACAGGTCCTGCCTCACTTGCTGAGTGTTTCCTGAAGCAATAGTAATTCCATTTGTTAATGGAGGAGATCACCCTTCATTTTATTTTGGAGATAGTGAAGGACAAATCTGTCTACTCAGTAACATTCCTATTCACCCAACAATTGAGTAAATCTCTCCTTATTCTGCATCCATATCTGAAGGTTTCCTCTCCTCTGGGAGCACCTTGCCGCTGTTACTGAGCCTACTGAGCAACCTGAAGCTGATTTCAGAATGGAGGAATCTTGCCTGCAGCCAGGAGAGCACAGGATCTCTCTTGTGACATCAGACTCAATAACACGTCCGAGAGCAACAAATGATGTCACCGACAATCTTTGTTTAATCTGAACAAAATTGAAGAGGATTATTGGAAGCAGAGCCCCTTGCCTGAGTGTAGTGCCACTGGAGCTAACCTCTGCCAACAACTGAGTCACTCAAACCAAAAGCCTTTGTCCTAAATCTCTGCTTAGCCAACATAGGGTGGGTATGACTTTAATCTTTAAACCTCAACAGGTAGGGAAATAGAAATGTCTGTCAAGATTCCTGTTCCTAATCCGTATTAAATATTCTAGAATTAAATAGAATTGACAGCTCAGGAACCTGCCACTTAGTCTAATTGATCTATGTCAGTTTGCATGCTCCACACTAACTTCCTTCCCACCTACTTCATTTCAACCAATTAGCATTTCCTGCTATTCCCCTCTCCTTTGTGTGCTGATCTAGTTTTCTCTTAAATTAATCCATGCTATTCATCTCAACCACATGATGATGAATTCCACATTCTAATAATTCTCTGGTTTAAGAAGTTTCTCTGGAATTTCCCATTGGATTTATTAGTGACTGTCTTACATTAATCACTCCTAGTTTTGTCTTTGGGGGAGTCCAAACACTGAGAAACCCTTTGCCATTTTAAAGGCATTTTTGGGCCACTTACATGATGCATGTATTTGTGGGGTGGGTGGGGTGGGGTGGGTGTTGTTCCTCTCTCATGCTCAAGATCAGCAGGGCTGGTGCAGGAATTATGGAGCTGCCAGGTGATTGTTAAGCAGTTGCTTGTGAATGGATTACCATGTACATAACCAAGTAGTTTTCTTTCTTTCCTCTGCAGAAAGAAGTCAATCAGAGGGAAGGTACCAGGACGATACGATGACCTCCCCAAACACAACCACCCCGAGCGATGCCCTTTTTCCAAACCCAGCTTCTCAGGCAAACTGGTGCCCTCCTGCCTGCACCTTCCCTCATTCCACTGCCCAACACATAAGTCACCGTGCCAACAATTACAAGCGGCATCCAAAGAGACGGAAGTTCATCCGGCCTTCCCCCCCTCCTCCTCCCAATACCCCCATTCCCATTGAGCTTATTGACTTCAGTGACATCCCGCCGCGACACTCCTTCTGGGAACTGCTTTTCAATGGGTGTATTCTGTTTGGAATTGAGTTCAGCTATGCAATGGAGACAGCTTATGTCACCCCTGTCCTCCTACAGATGGGTTTACCAGATGAACTGTACGGCATGGTTTGGTTCATCAGTCCCATATTAGGTATGGCACTTTTTGTCACTGTATATTCATCGGTGCTATGTGTAGTTAAATGCTGAGGCCTAGGCCTGCTTTTGGGTCTGCCATGGAAGGAAGGACACATGACTCTGACTGGACAAATAGTTGAACATGTGCTGAGGAGCCAACATGTCCTTTGAAAAGGACTTATGGCACCAAGGAGTGACAAATCCCCAAGAACAATTTTTTTACATCTGAGGGTCTTAAAGGATGTTCTGAGAATTTCACAAGACCAAATCATCCAAGCTTTGATTGATTGAGTAACCATTCCTTTAGATTGTAAGAATGCATATGTAACTCTACTGTTAAGAAATGAAAAAGGGCACCCTGTAAAATGAAGACCAGTCAACAAATTGTTAAGAGTCTGTAATTAAGGAAAGATTGGTGAGGTCAAATGTAGGTCCCTTACAGTCAGAAACAGAGGCAATTATAATGGGGAACAAAGAATTGTCTGACCAAACTAAATGCATACTTTGATTCTTTGCTTACAAAAAAGGATGTAAACAACATACCAGAAATATTGGGGCATCCATAGTTTAGTGAGAGGGAGGAACTGAAGGAAATAATTATTTGTAGGTAAATGGTATTGAGGAAATAGATGGGATTGAAGGCTGATAAAACCCCAGGGCGTTAATCAACATCCCAGCGTAATTAAGGAAGTGGCCCTAGAAATGGTGGATGCATTGGTGGTCATCTTCCAAAATGCTATAGAGTCTGGAACAGTTCCTACCAATTGGATGGTAGTTAATGTGACCCCACTATTTAAAAAGGGAGGAAGAGAGAAAGCGGGAATTAAAGATGAGTTAACTTGACATCGCTCATGGGAAAATGCTTGAGTCCATTATAAAAGACTTAATAGAATACTTGGAAAATGGTGGCAGGATCGGACAGAGTCAGCATGGATTTACAAGAGGGAAATCATGCTTGACAAATTCAGTGGAATTCTTTGAAGATGCACTAGTAGAGTTGATGAAGAGGCTGATGTGGATGTCATAGAGTCATATTCATGTAAAGCACGGAAACAGACCCTTTAGTCCAACTCGTCCATGCCAACCAGATATCTAAATGAATCCAATCCCATTTGTGCTAGCATTTGATCCATTTCCCTCTAAACCCTTCCTATTCGTATACCTATCCGGATGACTTTTAAATGTTGTAATTGTACCAGCCCCCACCACTTTCTTTGGCAGCTCATTCCATACATGCACCACCCTCTGCGTGAAAAAGTTGCCCCTTAGGTCCCTTCTAAATCTTTCCCCTCTCACCTTAATCCTATGCCTTCTAGTTTTGGACTCCCCCACGCTGGGGAAAAGACCTTATCTATTTACCCTATCCATGCCCCTCATGATTTTATAAACCTCTATAAGGTCACACCTCAGCCTCCAATGCTCCAGGGAAAATAGCCTCAGCCTATTCAGCCTCTCTCTATAGCTCAAACCCTCCAACCTGACAACAACTTTGTAAATCTTTTCTGACCTCTTTCATGTTTCACAATATCCTTCCTATAGCAAGGATTGAATGCAGTATTCCAAAGTGGCCTAAACAATGTCCTGTAGAGCTGCAACCTGACCTCCCAACTCCTAAACTCAATGCACTGACCGATAAAAGCAAGCATACCAAACACCTTCTTCACTATCCTATCTGCCTGTGACTTCAAAGAACTATGAACCTCAAGGTTTCTTTGCTCAGCAACGCTCCCCAGGACTTAACATTAAGTGTATAAGTCCTGCCTCGATTTGCCTTTCCAAAAGGAATTAAACTCTATCTGCTACTCCTTGGCCCATTGGCCCATCTGATCAAGATCCCGTTGCACTCTGAGGTAACCTTCTTCGCTGTCTGCTACATCTCCAATTTTGGTGTTCTCTGCAAACTTCCTAAACATACCTATGTTCACATCCAAATCATTTATATAAATGATGAAAAGCAGTGACCCAGCACCAATCCTTGTGTCACACCGCTGGTCACAGGCCTCCAGTCTGAAAAGCAACCCCCCACCAACATCGTCTGTCTTCTACCTTTGAGCCAGATATGTATCCAAATGGCTAGTTCTCCCTGTATTCTATCATGAGGAACCTTGTCAAATGGCTTACTGAAATCTATATAGATCATGCCCACCGCTCTGCCTTCATTAATCCTCTTTGTTACTTCTTCAAAAAAACTCAAGTTAGTGAGACACGATTTCCCATGCACAAAGTCGTGCTGACTATCCCCAATCAGTCCTTGCCTTTCCAAATATATGTAAATCCTGTCCCTCAGGATTCCCTCCAACAACTTGCCAATCACTGATGCCAGGCTTACCAGTCTGTAGTTCCCTGCCTTTTCCTTACCACCTTTCTTAAATAGTCGCACCACATTAGCCAACCTCCAGTCTTCCAGCACCTCACCTGTGATTATCAATGATACAAATGTGGTTTATTTTGATTTTCAGAAGGTTTTCAACAAAATCCCATTTAGGAGATTAGAATGTAAAATTAAAGTGCATTGGATTGGGTGTAGCATACTGACAGGGATAGAAAACTGGTTGGCAGACAGGAACCAAAGAGTAGGAATAAATGGGTCTTTTTGAATGGTAGGCAATGACTAGTGCAGTACTGCAGGGGTCAGTGCTAAGACCCTGGCTATTCACATTATATCTCAGTGATTTAAATGTGGGAACTAAATGTAACATCTCCAAAATTTTCAAATGATACGAAGCTGGGTGAAAGACGAGCTGCGAGGAGGATGCAGAGATGTTTCATTGAGATTTGGACAGGCTGAGTGAGTTGGCCAAAGGCATGCAGATGCAGTATTATGCCAATAAATATGGTTATCCACTTTAGTAGCAAAAACAGGAAGGCAGGTTATTGTGTGAATGGCTTATAAATTGAGAGAGGGGAATGTGCAACAAGACCTGGATGTCCTTGTACCTCAGTCACTGAAAGTAAGCATGTTGGTGCATCAGACAGTAAAGAAGGCAAATGGTATGTTGGCCTTCTAAAGAATCTCTATGACTCTAAGAACTTTAATATTAACATTGATAGATTTTTATGAACTAAAGGTATTAAGGGATTGGGAGAAGGCAAGGTTTACAGAGTTAGGCTACAGTTCAGTGATTAGCGTATCCCATTCCTCTTCCTATCACATGATCAGCATAACTTTCCATTCCTTTCTCCCCCATGTACTTAAATAACATCCATCTACATGATGACATTCACAACGGTTGTGGAGATACAGATATTCCAGTATCCTCAGTAATGGTAAAAGCATTTATATGGCGGCAAATTGAGGAACATGAGAACAGGAAATAGAAAAATGAAGGGAAACAGGAGTGAAAGGCAGAGGAAGTGGAAAGAAATGTAAGTTCAGGTACAGTGTCACGAAGGGGTGCAGCGTTTCAGTGGGAAGTATTTGTGTGAGACAATTCACTGTACATACACTGGGTGGTATTTGCAAGGGGATGTGTCGATGTATACTGTTGGAGTGTTTGAGCAGAGGAGCTATTACATGTGTTGAGGGTATTTGAGGGGCGAGACAGAGTTACACATTGTGGATGTATTTGTTAGGAGAGGGTGGTGTTACACACAGAGTATTTGTTGGGAGAAGATGATGTTACATCACGTGGCGGAATTTATTGGGAAGGAGTGGTGTTGCATACTGTGGGGATATCTGTCAGGAAAGGATGGTGTTATGTAATGTGTGAGTATTTGTGGGAGGGCCTCAGTCTCATTCCGCATTGTTTGTGGTTGCAGGGTTCCTGGTTCAGCCTGTATTGGGTGCCTGGAGTGACAGCTGCTGTTCTCCTTTTGGCCGACGCAGACCCTTCATCCTGGTTCTGGCAATCGGTGAGTTACAGCGACTTAGAGCCTCTGGTGTGGTTCATTTCCAAGGAAAGCTCTTTGGCTTTGGGCAGGGTTTCTGAAGCAACCAAATGGAAATTTTGCAGCAAGAGATTTAGGTTCCTTGCAATGAAGAGATCAAGATCTGGAAATGTTAGCTAAACAAATGAACATAAGGTTGCTGAGAACTCTCATTCAAAGTATAATTGGGTAGAGATTGAATTACTAGGGAAGATACTGGAACAGAGAATAAATGGCTTAGAGACAATTTGTGTTTCTAAATTGAAAAAGTATTAAAGGAAATGGGGAGAAGGAGGGTTGTAGTATTGAAGGATAGAGAGTTGGTCGTGCTCCTCTGTGTTAAAGGAGAGGGTCTGTTTCTGTTTTGTCTGTTTCTGTTGTTACCATTTTAATTTTATTCTGAACATGCTTTGCCATACCCCAATTTGATCCTGGTTTGATTCTGTATTTGGTTTTATTTTGTTCCATGTTTAATCTGAATTTGATCCTGTTTCCAGGTTTAATCCACGTTAGATTCTGTTCTGAGTTTGAACCTGTTGTTAGTTTGGATTCTGTTCCAGGGATTACCTGGGTTTGATCCTGGTCCTGGTTTGATCCTGTTACCATGTTGATCCTTTACACATTTGATCCTGTTTGGATTTAGTCCCATTCTGGATTTATTCCTGGTCTGGATTTGATCCTGATCCTATGTTGTTCTGTTCCAGGTGCACTGATTGGCCTCTCACTACTACTCAATGGCCAGGACATTGGTCTTGCTGTTGCTGACACAGTTACTAATCACAAGTGGGGCATCATTCTGACTATCTGTGGTGTGGTATTAATGGATTTCAGTGCTGACTCAGCAGACAACCCAAGCCATGCCTACATGATGGACGTCTGCTGCCCAGAGGATCAGGACCGAGGCCTGAATATCCATGCACTCCTGGCAGGTCAGTCTCAATTCACCATCACCTCTTCCATTGCTTCACAAACCTTTTCTCAGACTCTGAGGTCTAGTCTGAACCTAGGATCCATCAGCGACTCTCCCAGTATGACATTTCCATTTTCTGCACCAGCTGTTTAACTGGCACTGAATTTGCCCTCCTTCAGCCTCATGACTTCCTCCAGCTTCTCAGCCTCCAAATGCACAGAGTGTTACATCAAGGGGCCCCAACAAAAATTAAGTCAGTGGGAATCAGGGAGAAAACACTTCCCCAGTTGGAGTCATACCTAGCTCAAAGGATGATGATTGTGATTGCTGGAGACCAAACATCTCACTTCCAGGACATCTCTGCAGAATACTTCAGGGTAACAACTTGGTCAAAGTCATCTTCAGCTGTTTCATCAATGACCTCCCTCCAACATAAGATCAGAACTGGGGACTTTGCTGGTGATTTCACAATGTACATTACCAATTGTGACTCCTTAGTTATTAAAGCAGTATGTCTGCATGCGTCCTAACCTGGACAACATTCGGGAATGGGCTGATAAGTGGCAAGTACCATTTGTACCATATGTGCCAGACAAGGACCATCTCCAATATGAGAGAAGCTAGTCAACTCCCTGTGACTTTCAATGGCAACATCTTTGCTAAACACCCCATCATCATGCTGGGGGTTACCTTCAACTAGAAACTTAACTAGACCAGCCATATAAATACTGTGACTACAAGAGCAGGTCATAGCCTGGGAACTCTGCAGCAAGTAATTCACCTCCTTACTCTCCAAAGCCTGTCCACAAGACACAAGTTAGGAGTGTGATGGAATATTCTTCACTTGCCTAGCTGAGTACAGCTCCAAAAAAATTCAAGAAGCTCAATAAAATCCAAGACAAAATAGCCCACTTGGTCAACAACCCTTCAACTACCTTAAGTGTTAACTCCCACCACCAGTGGCACACACTGTCAACAGTGCATACACTTTATGAGATGCACTTTAGAAACTTGCCACGTTTCCTTGAATAGAACCTTCCAAACCACAAACCTCTACCACCTAGAAGGACATGACCAGAAGATGCATGTGAGCATCAACTGCAAGTTCCCCTGCAAGACACACATCCTGAATTGGAACTACACCACTGTTCCTTCACTGTAACTGGGTCAAAACTTTACAATCTCCTGTCTAACAGCACTGTAGGCATTTCTATACTAGATGGAGTGCAGATATTCACCACTGCCTTCTCAAGGGCAATTAGAAATGGAAAAAAGTTGCTGGCCTAGTGAACGTTGCCTATATTCTCAAAATTTTTTTAAAATCCTCTATCCTTTATTTACCCCAGTGCCAACACTTGTCCTGCCTTCCACTTTATTTTTGTTGCACTCAGTTTGATGTTGTGTCACATAATCCCTGAGACCTGCAATGATATTTGTATCAATATTTTGCTGTATTATGTTTTTCTTTTAAATTGCTCTAGGTCTGGGAGGAGGATTCGGTTACATCATTGGTGGGATCAAGTGGGACCAGACAAATTTTGGAAAAGTGTTAGGAGGTCAGCTTCGGGTTGTATACATTTTCACTGCAGTAATATTGACCATAACTACCATCCTGACACTAACCAGTATCCCAGAAAAGCGGTTGAACCCACAGGGAAAAAGGAAGAAAGTGATGAAGAGTCCCAGTCTTGCTCTACCTCCCTCTCCACCGATGGTGTTGGAAGAAGGTGGAGGCCAGACTGCCAGTCAGAATACCACTCGGATGTACACCAGCATGACCAGTCCCATTTCCCCACTGAGCCCCCTGACCCCCAAGTATGGGAGCTTCCTGAGCCGTGACAGCTCTCTGACTGGGATTAATGAGTTTGCCTCATCCTATGGGACCTCTTACATTGACACTGTCCTCATTGACTGTTACACAGGGGTCAATGATCAATATATCAGCTTTCCCAGACACACACTGAGTGCAAGTCTTCCCCGGATACCTGATGAGGTGGAAAATGAGGAAATGGAACCCTCAGTGATGACTGAGAATCCAGGGAGTCTGCAGGATGCCTCACTTGATGCCACGAGAAACCCAGCATCAGGAATTCTCAAAAGACCCGAAACTTTGAGTATTCCAAACAGCTACCTTGGAAACAGTGGTGACAACAGTCGAAGGAGGACAGTGACCTTCAGTCAACAGGTACAGATACTTCAGAGGGGCAAACAACACAGTGAGGGAAGGAAACTCTTCAGTGAAGGGGGCAAACTACATTGTGGAGGGTGGTGGGGTGAGAAACGGCCCAGTGAGGGCAAATTGGAGGTGGCAAGCTGCTCTGTGAATGGCCACAGTTATTTGGAAACTATGTTACAGGACTAAAAAATCCACAAAACATTAGTTCAAATCTCATCGGAGGAGCTTGAAATTTTGCTTTGGGTTGAAAAATCAGGGAGGAAAGAAACTGGTCTCAGCTGTCAGATTGTCATTAGATTCCAACTGAATCACCAAACTCCTTTCAGAAGGAAACCTACTGTCCTTGCCTGGTCCGAGCCTGAAGTGGTTACTGAGTCATAACATTGAGTGTGTTAGCTTAGCTCAAATATTTTCTTGGTCTTCAGCCACAGAATTCCATTTGAACTGCTCCAGTCAAGAGATTTCAGACCATTTTTGGCGCAGAAGTAAAACAATCTGAATGTGGTGGGGCACCTGAGCTGGAGCCAGTTCCAGCCAGATAATTTTGTCAGGAATTCTGAAGAAAGGTATAGGATCTTCCCTCACAATGGGGGACAGCTAGGATGCTGGCTCCCACTGGAAAACTTGCCAGGCCCAAGCAGTATATAAACATATACTGGAAAGCACAACTGGTCCACCCAGAAAAATTTAGTGTTCAACAGTTCAGGAAAGTTCTGTGCCATTTGGAATCCTCTCCGGAATTTGTCAGTCCCTGTGGGTCAGCTTCTGGCAGTGTCACATGACAGAAACATCTGCCCTTGGACCTTGGGCCATGACTATTGTTGGTTCTGAGTGGCAGCGGTTACCCAATTTCCTTGACTGTGCTCTTTTGCTGTTTTAAACACTGAGCACAGACTCCTTCAGGTTTTTAGTCGTCTAGCCCAGCCTTGCCTTCAGTTTATCACCCTCCTGCCTTGTAACCAGAGTCTGATTCCCTCCTGGCCATGTACACATTCTACATAATTAGATCTTACAAATCCACTGTACAACTTTTCAACAAAATGTTAAAGCAACTAAAAATAGGAGTGTTCAAATGTTCATGATCAGTCCATTGAGTATTACTTAATGACTGCCAGTAAAATACTGAGAACAGTTTCAACAACAAAAATGAAGATAGCTCCTTCCAGCAGCTTGTTGCACTCCTTCCCTGTCATAGGTTTTGCATTCTTTTACACAGAAGATATATACCTTATATTTGTATAACACTAAAATAGACGATCTGGTCATCATCACACTGCTGTTTATGAAAACTTGCTGTGCACAAATGGCTTCTGTGTTTTCTACATTACAACAGTGACTACACCTCTAAAACACTTTGATGTGCTTTGGAACTTCCTGTGGTTGTGAAAGACACTTTTACTTTAATTGGTTCATTTAAAATAATCAAACCAAATTAAAATGTGACAGCCCCCTTAAAGGTGCATTGTAACAACAAGCAAATCTTCAAAAGGAAGATTATAAATTTAAGTTAAAAGTTCCCAGAGCTGATAGTGCACTCCAGCACTTGCAATACCCACCAGACACAAAGGCCTTAAGCTTGTCAGTGGTCACCATACTCACTCTCTGCTGACACGAAGATTAGGGGGTAACCACAGAAACAGGCAAGCAGTCAGATCTAATGACCCCCTGCATCAAGGCCAGACCCAGGACCAGACCCATGAGGAGATCTTCTGATATGCCAACTACATCTGAAACAGATGGCCAAAGATCAGAAGTGAGCAGTTGAAGCACAGACAAAAATGAGAAGCACCCCTTCAAATAACAAAGTAGAGGCTGTAAATTTGCACAACCCATTTATACATGGACTACAGGACTCCTGAAGGCTGTAAAGGTACAGGCCACCTGACAGTCCATCTACTATCTTAGCCTCCTATTGCGCAGGACTGCTATGCTATATCACCTATGGCAAAGAGGTGGATTCCCACACAGACAGCCTCAGAGTGAGGGTCCCTGACATCTCTGGATGCCATAGTGGAACGTCACAAATGCCTGGTAGGTTGACAGGGGGAAGGGTATTATTAAATTGAAAAGGGTTCAGAAAAGTTTTACCAGGATCTTGCTGGGAACAGAGAGTTTGAATTATAAAAATAGGCTGGATAGGCTGGGACATTTTTCCACTGGAGCATAGGAGGTTGAAGGGTGACCTTTTAGAGGTTTATAAGATTATGAGGGTCATAGATAAGGTGAATAGCAAAGGTCTTTTCCATAAGGTGGGGAAGTTCAAATTTAGGGGGCATATTTTTAAGGTGAGAGGTGAAAGTTTTAAAAAGGACAGGAGGTGCAATGTTTTTACACAGAGTAGTTTGTGTTTGGAATGAACTACCAGTGGAAATGGTGGATGCAGATACAATTAAAGCATTTAAAAGACACTTGGATAAGTACATGAATAGGAATGGTTTGGGGAGATATGGGCCAAACAAAGGCAAATGGGAGTAGTTTAGTTTGGGAACATGGTTGGCGTGGACTAGTTGGACCGAAGGGTCTGTTTCCACACTGTATGACTCTATAATGTAGTGGAAGGTGTGCAACAGCACATATAGGAACCATCTCCATAAGGAATTGAATGACACAGAGGATTGTTTTTTGCTACACACCTCAAATTACCGGGCTGGAGTTCCCAAGAAAGATTTCAGAACTCAGGACCAATGTGAATTTCTGTCTGAACCAGATCAGTTCAGATGAGGACAAAAACAGAAGTTGCTGGAAAAGCTCAGCATGTTTGGCAGCATCTGTAAAGAAAAAATCTGAGTTAGCGTTTTGGGTCCAGTGCCCCTTCCTCAGAACTGATGGTAGCTAGGAAAATGTCCTCTCTCTGTCCCACAGACCCCTTCGCCCAGTTCCAACACTCTCCCTCTACGTGGACCCCTCCCTCTGGCGTTTTACTTGCAGTTGATTTGTTCGTTGAGAACTGTCGATGTGATATTGGTCGCCTCAATTTCTCTGCCCACTCCCCAAATCCAAGCTATCTCCCTCCAAACTCTCTGCACTCTGTGCATTTAGATCTAACCCTGACTTTGTTATTAAGAGTGCTGATAAAGGTGGTGCTGTTGTGGTCTGGCGGACTGACCTCTACATTACAGAGGCTCAGTGCCAGTTCTCAGATACCTCCTCCTATCTTCCCCTGGACCATGACACATCAGGACATTGTATCAACTACAGTAACTGAGCTCATTTCATCTGGTGATCTTACTCTCCCACCTCTGCCTCTAAGCTGATAGTTACTCCAGCCCCACACAGCTCGCTTCTACCTCCTACCAAAAATCCACAAACAGGACTGTTTGGCAGACGCATCGTTTCAGCCGGCTCCTGTCCCACAGAACTCATTTCTTCCTTACTTGACTCAGTTTTCTATCCTCTGGTCCAGTCCCTGCCCATGTACATCCGTGATTCCTCTGATGCTTTACACCATTTCAAAATTTCCAGTTTGCCAGTTTCAGCCGCCTCCTCTTTACCATGGATGTGCAATCCCTTTACATGTTCATCCCCCACCAGGATGGTCTTAGGGCTCTCCACTTCTTCCTGGAGCAAAGGCCTGAACTGTGCCCACCCACCACCAACCTCCTCTTGTTTGGCCGAGCTCATCCTTGCCCTTAACAACTTCTCTTTTCATTCCTCTTCAGGTCAGAGGGGTGGCCATGGGTACCCACATGGACCCCGGTTATGCCTGTCTCTTCGTGGGGTGTGTGGAACATTCCTTGTTCCAGTCCTATTCTGGCCCCCATCCACAACTCTTTCTCTGATATATCGATGATAACATCAGTGCTGCTTCCCTCTCTCGTCCAGAATTGGAAAAGTTAATCGATTTCGCTTCCAATTTCCACCCTGCCTTCACTTTCACCTGGTCTATCTCTGAATCCTCCCTTCCCTTCATCGATATCTTTCTTTCCATTTCTGGGGATAGACTGGCCACTAATATCCACTACAAACCCACTGACTCCCACAGCTACCTGGACTATACATCTTCGCACCCTGCTTCCCGTAAAAACTCCATCTCATTCTCTCAGTTCCTCCATCTCCATTGCATATGTTCAGATGAAGCCAACTTCAACAAGACAGCCTCTGAAATGTCCACCTTCTTCCTCAACCGAGGATTCCACAGCACCGTTGTCAACAGGGCCCTCAACCAGGTCTGGTGCACCTCCCGCACTTCTGCCCTCACCCCCTCTCTTCCCTCCTGCAACAGCAATAGGGTTCCCCTTGTCCTTATCTACCATGCCCCCAGTATCCGCATCTAGAAGATCATCAGACACCATTTCCGCCATTTCCAGCGAGATGCCACCACCATACACATATTCCACTCCCCTCCCTTGTCCACCGTCTGCAGGGACCGTTTCCTCCGGGACACCCTGGCACACTCTTCCTCTACTCCCAACAACACCCCCACAGACTCATGCCACCTTCCCCTGCAACTGGTGCAGATATAACACCTGCCCATTTACCTACTCCTTCCCCACTATGCTAAGGCCCAAACATATCTTCCAGGTTAAGCAACACTTCCCCTGCACTTCCCAGAATCTAGTCTACTGCATTCTCCAATCACAATGTGGTCTCCTCTACATTGGGGAAATGAAGCGTAGACTCGGTGACCGCTTCACAGAACATCTACGTTTTGCTTGCAAAAAAGACCCTGAGCTTCCAGTTGTCTGCCACTTTAACACCCCACCCTGTTCCCTGGTCAACATCTCTGTCTCAGGCTTGCTGCAGTGTTCCAGCGAAGCTCAACACAAGCTGGAAGAGCAACACTTCATTTTCCACTTGGGAACCCGGCAGTCCTCTGGACTCAATATCGAGTTCAATAATTTTAGGGCCTAAACTCTCCCATGTCCTAGCCCTCTACCTCACACACCAGATCTTGTTATCACATATACACTATTATACACTAGCTAATGTTAGTCATTAACAGTCTCCATTAACAGCTATTCACCCTCCTAGCCAGATCGTTATCAACGCCTTTGTCCATCCAACTGCTTTTCTTTCTCTTTGGGCTCTATCCTTTATCCTATTGTTTACTCCCTACACCATCCCCCTCCCTATCTTTTTCATATAAACTGATGTTTTCCTAGCTACCAACAGTTCTGAGAAAGGGTCATTGGACCCGAAACGATAACTCTGATTTTTTCTTCACAGATACTGCCAGACCTGCTGAGCTTTCCCAGAATTTTCTGTTTTTGATCCTTATTTACAACATCTGCAGAGATAGTAGGAACTGCAGATGCTGGAGAATCTGAGATAACAAGGTGGAGAGCTGGATGAACACAGCAGGCCAAGCAGCATCAGAGGAGCAGGAAAGCTGACGTTTCGGGCCTAGACCCTTCTTCAGACCCATTTCTGAAGAAGGG